AAGGGTCAAGTAAAAGTTTCGCAATGGGACATTGGCGAATTTTATGGTCGCTGTTACGTGATAAATTCTCCGAAAATTTGAATGAGAAAAATATCGAGTCGTCAGAACGCGTGGAAATTGCAAATGTCCTACAGCTAAAAGATTGCGTTATTTTCACAATCTATAAAATATCGACGGTATTCCATGATTATCAAGCTTATCAATTTACCAAGTTCGAAATCGCCAGAAACGTATGAAAATTCGATCGAAGCAGCTAGATCGCGCTTTCGCGGGAAAGCACCCTTCTAAGACACGACAGAGACTCGATTTTCCGTAAGAAATTCCTACGAGATCGATTCAAGCAAAATGCAACGTTACCTTCGACTCTCATCGACGCGAGATCCTCTCGTTGCACGTGAAATCGATCACGTTCGATCGAAATTCCCGCCCAGCAGCGACTGTCGGCCCTTCTCTCGAGACTTTCCTTCGGTTTGCAGTTCCTCTATTCTCTACGTCATCGGTTCGATACTCCTACGCGTGCTGGAATCGTGTAGCTTTGCACTTTTTCATGCGTTTTCTTCTCATCTCGGGAAATCCAAGCGTTTCCTCTCTGTCTTTTCGTTCCGTGGCTTGCGAATCAATCTCCACGATTGATACCCGTGCACGAGGAAATCCTGGTCATTTCCGGTCACGTAACGGATCTTGTCGCGATCGATTTCCGATCCACCGATTCAATCGTCCGGTTTCTTTTCTTTAGTCAATCCGTACAAGTCCAGGTCAGCGATTCTTTGCCAAAGTTAATTTTCCATTAACTTCCTGTGCTTTATTTCCGCGAAGAGGAGCTAGAAAACCCTTACGAACAGTTTTTATGCGGTCTAGTTGAAAAGTCTGGCGACCAAGATAAGTGATTGCTTGGCAAAGTGAATTTTCTGATTTCTTTTATTTAGGGAGATCAAAAGGAAGGTTGAGAATTCTTTTTCCCTATAGTCCGACAATTTCTACCGATGCAAACATAATTCTCCATTAATCTGATTTTCTTCGAAACGTTCGGAGTTCAAAGACCCGTCAAGACTTTCCTGTACTAAAAAAGAATCAGCAGTTTCTTGACAAACTTTCCATTACTTCGAAACGAATAATCACAAGAGTTCCCCACCTTGTCCTTTTCTGCAGTCCGAACAATTTGTTGCCAGAAGTTTCATAAAGTACTTCCACCGATTTTTAATTAAGAACATTTAATTAGGAACCGCCACTAAGCATTCTCTCCGTTACCTCTTCTATTCGATTTCATTAGCCAATTCGACAGAGTGAATTTTTTATTCAAGGGTCTCGACACCAAGAGTTCTAGCCCGTCTCTTCTTATGTCCAATTGTGACAAAGTTTTCAATGAATCTCGTGTTTGGAAACAGCCCGTTGCGGAATCGTGATCGCGTTCCGTTCTTTCGGTTTTTCTGAGCGCGTTTCGCTTAGTCTCGGGGGCGAGGGCGGCGTCGATCTAACCGGGCTGAGGTCGCGCGTCCTACTAGAGGGAAAATCCGTTCTCCGTCATTTCGAAGAGCGACTCAACCCCCCCGATGCCGATTCCCTTCGTACGGGGGTGGCACGAAACTGCGCGGACACCGAAACCCACCCTCGGCTCGCGTTCAACCGCCCTCTCGCTCGCCCGATACTCTCCTCTCTCCGCCGCCTTTTTCTTCTTCTTGTCAACTGTTCTCCTTCTGTTTGGCCGACTCGAAACGCAGAAATTACCTGTGTAAAAGAAGGGAGGACCACGTAGGAGGCTTTTGGCATCGAGCTAGCGAACCTTTTTTTAAACGGGGGTGAGAAAACGCTCTCGAGTCTGGAGCTTCTTTAATTGAAGCTTTTTCTTTTCGACGCCTCGAGCTGTTTTCGCTTTTTGACGACACAAATTTGGGTAATAGCCATGGAGAATTTTTGTGTCTGCTTTTAAAGGGGTGCCTTGTCGAGGAAAATTTTCGGGAGACGTAGTTCGTTTGGCGAGCTTTGCTGCTTGTTAACTTGTTCGCCCCTATGATTTATTCCTGAGGTGTGTCACAACTACTCACAACTATATTAAAATAAAGTAAGTTTAAATGCTATGCCTATTTGGTGTTATTGAGCAAAATAATGAGTGCGTCACGAGACATGAAGTAGTACAAGGGGTTGACGATTAAAAATCGCAGTCATCAAAGAAAAAGGTCCAACCAGAATCTTCCTGGTTTGAGTCTAAAACGTCGTATCGAACCGAAATCGATAATTTAATCTAACAAGGCAAACGATCTTATCTCGTGTTTCGCTCATTAAAACGTCAAGATCGACGAAACTTTTCCCTTCGGTTTATCCGTTACGCTCGAAGTAAGTTAAGCAACCGTTTTCCAAAAGTTGCTTCTTCTAACGTCGTTACCAAACTGCTTTTATCATAGTGCTTCGAGTGTACAAAGAGTGAAACGTGGAATCCCATGTAACGAACCGGATCATTTAATCAAAAATTGTAACTTTATGCATCGAAAAATCAATTGCTTTCACGGTTGTGATAGAGTTAGGTCGATCGCGAACTGAGAACGGGTAGTCCGTTAATTAGAGCTATTATTCGAGTATTATAATTAATCGCATTCACAGACTGTTGAATCTGGCAAACATCGAAAAGCTATTGTAGAGGATGTATCACGCGAGAATTCGCGATGAAGCGAGTTATCTTTTAATAGCCAATTTGATTCATTCCGGCGCAAAAACGTGGACGATTAAAACTTTCGTTCCGAGATTGGTCAATTTCTTTTTACACCGTTGCGAACATCGATTCCGCCGGAACGATACACGCGATAAGTAACACAGTACGCTGCACAGATTGAACGAAATCGGTGGAACGAAACAGAAGAACAGCGAGTGGAAAAAGAAAGCAAGGACAGGAAATACCGAACAGCGAAAAAAGAGAGATTGTAGCAACGATGTAGAAAGCTGTCAGAGATTCGCGAAAGGTGTCAGACGAAACGAAGAGCAAGCTTTGCCTCGTATTAAAGGAGAACGCCCATTAATTTCTTCATCGATCGGTGTTTTCCATTGTCCAGTCCCGTCTCGAAAAAAATAGAAAAGAAACGGGGAGATGAAATCGACGTTCGAACATCAGCCTCTCCGTGTGATCGTGTTTCCTATTCGACGAATTTAATGATCCGTCGTTTTCCCCGTATTTACCGAGCGAAGAAAAATCGACTCGATTCCAGCGGATTTGCAGTTGAACACTGGACGAACAGAACGATCGACGCTTTCCGAACCGATAAATCCACGTTTCTCCGATTGCCGTATGTTTTTAAATTGAATCTCGGCTCCGGGAGAACATCTTGCCATTCACGAATTAAACGGATAAATTCGAACAGTCTATTATCGGCATTCTTTTAATTCTCACCTGTTCGAGTTCTATTAGTTTCGTCGAATTATAAGGGTATCAACGTCTCGACAAATGAAATCACTGCATTTTTACAGCGTTCTTTATGGCGTCTCATTTCTATGGCCACCGGCAAAACGTATCAAGTAATCGCTTTTGCTTAAGCGGCTTTACAGTTATTACAAGCTCACCTTAATTAAAGATATAATTAATTCTTCACGATGACGAACATCGTTGCACGGAGTATGATTAATCGCAATATAATTTTGCGATCTTAATCGAGTTATGGCTTTTAATTTATTTAACATTACACTGTTTAAATAAAATTCGGTGCTCTCAGCGATCAATGATTCATTTTTAACCATTCTCGAACTCAACGCGTCCAAGAGCAAAGCTCATTACAGCGATTTGCGTAATATTTTCGAGATTATTACAAGTCCGAAACAGGAGCGTCCTTTAGATTTAACGCAGAGAACTTCTTTACATTCGACTCGGAGCGTGAAAAGTTCAAGAGAAGTCTAAATGCAAGGACGTCCATTGGAAAGCCCTGCTTTTCTTCGTGGAGCGTGAATTACCAGCGACCAGAATACAATTATAGCGAATAATAAGCAGCCTACGAGGATCCTGAATCGCTTAATAAAAGGATAGGCGTACGAAAGGGCCGTATCTTTGGCGCGGTATCAAAGGCTGAAACGCAGTCGATGCCGGCGGCAGACTTCTTTTTACAGACTCACCGCATGAAAACCGCGATTGTTCGCCGTGAGACGTGTCCCGTCGGTCAAAAGTCCCTAACAAAGCATCCGAACACTTTTCTCTTTTTTGCTTCTGGGCCAAAACTTTCTCTATGTACCTGATAATTTAATAATCGAATACGTGCCGTAACTTGTAACTTGCTGTTGTAACTCGATACTGTAACTTGTAACTTCATTAGTTTATGTAGTTATTTTATTAGATGCTGCAAGTTTAGATGTTAACCACTTAACCTATAATTTGCGTCAGCTAGACAATTATTGCTACAAAAGATGAAACAATTACAGAATCCCTGATTATACGGATTATAATCAGAATTGAATTGCAAGAGAATAGGTGGTTTATAACACTCTGTAGTGTGACACGATGTAGAAAGGATCTCTTAAGTGGACGATAGATACGTTTTCTGTCCACGTTTCAACGTGACACTCCCTGCGATTACTTTGCTATTAATTAACGAGGGCGTTGTTTAACACAGACAAAGTTAATGCAGTCGCCGCTAAAATTCCCCGATTATCGGTGACCTTAATTGATCTGGTAACTCCATCCGGTTGCTTTGCAGTTTCTCCTTACCATTCCCAATAAATTCATTGCAGTTTCAATTTCTGTCACGTCAATCGCGATTAGATCCTTTCGGTGTAATTGCGTTACCTCTTTCGCAACGTCGAATCATTACTAATTTTCAAAGCTTTCAGATATAACACTCAGACGTATTGCTGAATTTATCAGACTCCAAAGAGCGCACATCGCGGTAAATTAATTCGAGTCTCAACTTTCGAGTACTGCAAAAAATCTCAACTACTAAACGAGTACCGTTGACTAGATCTATTATCAAAGTTTGTATACGAAGCCGGCGAAAGCGTTCAACTAATTAAACTGCTTGTCAGACACTCACCGTGTGATGGTTCGCGGGGAATTGTCCAACATGCAGCAGAGACAAATTTCCAGCAACGGCTTTCGGGCTCCTCCATTCGTTCCTGACCTGTTGCTCCCATTCACGGCTGAAACAAAAAGTTTCTTGGTTAAATATACACTCTTCGAATGGGGGTTATTGTAAATAAAATGGATAGGTGGAAACCGCGGTGCATATTGGAAAAATGTTTCTCTTTTTCGACCGGGTTTTATTTTGTCAACAGATTACCGTTTCATCTCGTGACACACACGGTTCGATGCAGAAAATTATTAAACTCCATCTTTATATTCGAAAGAAGCCGACTAATTAATCTGGGTTAATGCAAAAACTTGAAATTAAGTAGCGAACCAATTACCGCTCGATAATTAATCTGGCTGGAGAAAATATGCAACCGAAGAAACTACGCTTTCAAGAAGCTACACTTCGCATTTAACCTTCTCCCTTTTAATTTCGCCACGACCCGTATCTCGTCGGAACAAAGATTTTGAGGAACGATCTCTTTTTGTCTTCAGCCGCGATTCGGAAGGAGGCGCGTAACGAATGCATTAGACCGAGTTTTCTCGGAACTTTCGTTGATTAAAATATATCCTCCGTTTTGATGTTCTTCTCGGCTCGAAGTGAAACATTAACCACACACGTGTGTCGTACTGCGAGAATCTCGGCTGAGCATTATCGAGATTGGATAAGAGGAAGCGTTTCCCGTCTTCTCTTCCTTCTACATCCTTTTAGGAGTACCTTGATTTTACGTATGCTGCGTAGTACTGAATCTTTCATTTCTTGCAATGGTACACCTGCCTAATTGGACATGCTTCGACAATTCATGAAGCGGAATAATTCAATCTTTGCAAAGAGGAATTACTCGTTTTCGAGAAAATTAGTAGACATAACCTATACATGACTCGTTGAGGATGAAGTTTCAGATGTATAGAAATTATTTAAAATATTAACTTACATCGTTACGTTCTATTAATGTAAAACCCATTGTCATACAAGAACATTGCAGGCAATTTACCCATGTAATAAATTACCAAGGATTAATTAAAAATCTCCAGTTACGTTTGGATTGTATAACAAAGAATATTGTTGTAACAAAGGGCGTTAAATGTATCAAAGAAATCGGACACGTAACGCGAGTTCATAAAGGGTGTCTCTCAGAAAACTGAAACACCCCGATACTGTTTGTAATCGCGCCTACAAGTTTTGTTTCAAGATGCACGCTTTTCCACAGCCCTTCTCAGTGAACCACAAAGTCATTCGTTACCACTTCGAATCACCTTGCACTACAAAAGCATAAGTTTACGTGCCATGCACGTAATTGGTTCGACCCAGTTGCTAACAATCCCGAGAAGTACCCGGGCCGCGCTAGCCCTGAGCAATTCCGGTTATTCTTTCTTTTCGAGGATGGGAACAGGAAAAACGTAGCACACGATGAAATCCCTTCCCTTTCTTTTTTTTTAGATGAAATGCACAATAACGACGTATACGACAAGTAGAACTTTTTTCTTCTTTTCTTGTTTCGAATAGTAGGAAGTGCGGAGGGCTTTTATTATATTGTTGGTACATTTTGTTCGTATCAATCATTGCTAATTGTGTTGACACACGGTACATTATAATTACTGATGATTGAATGATACAGCTTTTTGAATTGAAAGTGTCGATTCCATCTACGATGAAATTTTTCGTAAAAGCATCTCCCCCAGAATGAATGGTGCTAGGTAAGACTATATCCTTCTATATTTCACCAAAGACGCGCGAGAAGAAGGCTTGTATGTCGAAACAGGAGTTACGAGAGTCCTGTCTGCAGTTCCGTAAATCAAGCGGTTCGAAGATGCAATTCACCCAGTTTCTTTTAAACAAAAGTAACGCCAACGCGTCGACGGAACTTTAATTAACTGGATGTTGTCGATGGCAAACAATATCCCGGCGGGAGCAGACATGCTCGTGAAGCCGATTGATAATTAAGCTAACGTTTAACAGCTAGAACTAAACGAATCTCTTAATCCTTCGACCATTATTTAGTTCGAACGAGCCATTTGAGTAACAAATTTGCCCCTTATCGACGCAAACACTTAACACACTTTTTGGTCAATTTTCTGCGCACTTACCCCAGGTTGTAGGTTTCATAAATTGCGGTGTGAGACAGAGCAGGAAGGCTGCTGGCTTCGCAGGGTGGATTACTTAAATCTGAAAAGGAAACATACAAGGAGAATTTAACGTCCACGAAGTTTCGACGTTAATTAAATTTCTATTTTCTATTCTAACAAAAGTTAGTTATTTGATTCTCCTCAGCTCCGTTTCTGTACGCCGCATTATATAAATTATGTTACCGGCCTTAAGTAAGAAGAATTGAATTACCTATTGTAGAGTCATAGTGATCGCTGTGTCGTCCAAAAGGGGCGGTTCGATTGAGGAGCTCGTTTACTCGTCGTCTTGGACTTCTGGCCTGTTGGAGAATGCAATTTCTCTTACATCGAATCGTGATGCTTGAACGAGCATGAAAATTAAGTCCATTTCGAGATACGTAAGAGCACAGAAAGGGTTCGAAATAAACGATGGCCTCGCGTAAGTTCCTCCTGATAAAGGATGCATCGCGGACAAGATAGAGAATCCTTGTTTCGTGCTAGAATGGAATCGAGGGGGATTTACCGTTGGCTTGAAAATCGTTTCTACAGGGTGTTGCATAGAAAGGATTTCAAGGATCAGTCCGTTATATTCAATAATAGACTAATTATTTTACGTATGCGTGCTCTCCACTAATATATTGTACTTTAGTATCATCCAAGTATTTATCCGTATAAACTTGCTCTTCTAATTAAAAATGTAACACAGAATTCATATAAAAAGTTTGCGTCCGAAAGTCTCTCTGATCCCCAGCTTCGAAATAATTGATTTTTTAATATATTTTTCGTATCATCCGCCTTTCGAGTTTTAAACGCTTTTCTTCCCGGTGTATCGGCAAATATTTAACGAAGATTGCCTTCCTGATTATCTCCAAAGCATTTCTGTTTATATATTTTTCATTCAGTTTAGCAGGTACCATCTAGCCTGTAAATATTGAACGATTCCAAAATCCTGCATATCGATGAATATTTTAGGAAAATTCCCGCAAGCATGGGACATTAATGCTCATTTGCGCCTCGGTGTTTTTCAATATTTTCTACATTAGTATTTAGTACCATCTATCTCGCGAGTCTCGAAACGTTTTCTTTACGGCACACTGTATTTACATCGATCCAACAACCTTTTTCTAGCATGGTTCAAGTAGATATCTCTTTTGCCGTGTCGTATTGGACTATATACCTGAAAGGCACGGATATTTTCATCCGCTTAATGCGCCTCCAACATTACACGTAGCAGAACAAAAAGCTGCAGAAGGATTGCTTCGATCGTTTTACGATTCCTTTTAATACGAGCCACGATAGGCGTTCTTCTAGTCTGAAATCCAAATATTTATGATCCCGGGCCAGCTTGCGAAGCGAGGGCAAAATTATTGATCATGTTTCCAGGCGGCTAGCAGACTTAAGGTTGGTTCACATTTCGTCTTGTATCGGACTACTATTTAACCCTTACCGTCAAGATCACTTAACTCTACGGGGATTAAAGTCGCTTTTTATTTTTCTTGTAAAAAAGTAATTTGAATAGTGTACTATCTCGATAAACGCGTTTTCAAAGCACGAGTACTATCGTCAGAATTTACGTCTTCGATATTGAAAGTTAAAAATTGTCGATATTAAAAATAAAGGGAAACATCGTTAATGCGTTTTCCTCGATTCGATTCCATCAACGTTTGTTCGATCGGATTTTATATTAAATACGATTGCAAATCTCGCTTGAGCCCTCTTCATCGCTCGATTTCCATTCCAAACTCGTTTAAAATTCTATTCAAATTCGATGGGAATACTCATTACAGGATTAATTGCCGCGGCCGTTATATAACCAGCGGTACAGGTCGAATCAAGAACCCCATGAGCTCTTACTCCGAAATAAAAAAACCCCTAAACATTTCAGCAAGTTAAAGATCTTACAAAAGTGGTGTCGATAAGACTCTGCGTTCTCGTCACTTGAGCCTTGGGAGGTTCGGACACGCTGTCTCTCGACGAGAGGACCTCAGGTTCGTCCAGACACTTGTCCTCCGCCAGAGACACCAAACTGTTGTACCATTGAGCACTCCTCACTCTGTAAGGCTTGTTCGGCTCGTGCGATCGGTTCAAATCCTTGCTGAAACTCAGACTACGCCTAATAGGCTGCAGGCCACGGTTTATCACCGCCGGTAACTCCGCGCTGCTTCTTATCAGCGAGCCAATTTTACGACGAAACGAGTGCTTGCGATCGAATTTCCCGCCCTTGCCGGTCTCCGTCACCTCTTCCGGAACGTCGACATCGTGCACCTCTAGGTAGTTCTTCGATTCTGTAACAAAATTTGTCATAACTTAAATTAGTTGTAATTGGAAATTTTTGGACATAGAGAGATAAATTATGCGAAAACATATATACGTGACTTTAATTTAAACTTTACTGAAATTTCAGCTTGAAATTATTCGAACGTCCCAAACTACAGTCGCAGATGTTTGTATGAAGTTTGTGTGTATCTTCCGGCTATCCCAAATGAAATGTAACGAGAATATTTCGATGCAGATGACCGAACCGACCAAGCGAGAGTTGTGTGCATTTCAAACAAAACACCATACCACCAGTTTCGGTACACGATGGTCACACAATTCATTTTTCAAGGGAGATCAATTTCAGAGCGATATCGAAAATAGCTTTACACGAAGCAAACTTTGTCGGTAGTACCTGATTCCTCTTTCAACTCGCTGTTTCTCACAGGATCTTCCTTTACCGGTTTCACGCCGCGACCGGAGGCTTTCTGGCTTCCCTTTTTCGACTTCTTCGAAGCTCGCTTCTCGTCCTTCTTCAGCGTTGTCATCTTGCCAAGATTCGGTACACTTCCCAACAAATCGGCTTAAAAGACTCCCAGTCGTCTTTTAACAGGACAAATCGTTCGCTTCATCCAGAAGGATCAAATTTCTACGATGATTCGAGACGTTCGTACTTCCATTATTATAAATTAATGAACCGAGCGGCATCATCTGTATCGCATTACGATCGGCAAAATCTGATTTAATTGTCCAAGAGGATTCGATGTTCATTCAGCTCGACCGATTCGGGCGCATTAATGATTACACCAAGCGATTGTGTCTCGATTACTCCGAACTGCGGAACGGAACCTGCTCCACAATATCGTGGAGCAGAAACAATTGTTGCACCTCGACTACGTTTCGACGATGAAGCTAATTGTGCGACGACAATGCTACGCAAACTTTCGTAACGAAGGTCGCAACCACGCGTTTATCCCCTCTACTATCAATTTTCAGTTCTCTTGTTTGTCACGTGCCATATTTTGTAAAATACACTTCTATAACAATAAATACTTCGATCAAGTGACACTTTATTAAAACATTTTTCTTTCAGATACTTTTCGAGCAATTTAAAAATTACTCTGTCAATTTGCAAAAGTCTCTCTGAAATCACGTGTCGATAATCGCTGCAGAAACGCACTTAAGCTATATCAGTATTTGTTTTCCGATCATATTCTCGTTATCGTTGCGACACAAATTTACCGTATCGACGTTATCGAGCTCGATCGCAGTTTTCCAAGTAGAAAGAAATTGTTCCTGGAATCTCAACGTGTTTAACTTTCGCCAAGTGATCAGGATATCGATCGGGAAGTTCGATTAATAGCAAACATATTTCAGACTTCTTTTTCTCTGGAGTAAACCTCGAGCAACCGTATTTCGTCATCGACAATTAACGCTATCGTAAAAGTACCCGCGTATCGCGGTTTTATCTCGGATGTGCGCGAAACGTCACGAGCAAGAACGTGTTTGCAGCTTGATAACCGCGCAAAAATGCAGCTAGCTTGCACCGTGAAACTAAACGGGGAATCCAAGGTGCTTAGAAATAGGATTTTACTGGTATTCCGTGTTTACGGAGCAAACTCTTTAACCGTATTTTTCGATTCTATCGTGGGTGGGCAAACTAAAGTTTTAAACCCGTAAAGGTTACGTAACGCGATAAAAAATGTCTTCATAGATATGATTGGATTAGTACAATTTTCGCGATGGCGTAAAGTAAACATTGTATAAAAATCCTTGCAAACCGCAATTATGGAGTATACTCGAAGTATCAGACGCGATTCAGGAGTTGAATAAGAAAATCATCACGGTAGATAGAAGTTCCGAATCGGGTTTCGTAATTAGCACCGGGTTAGATCGATATACCATCGCGAACCACCACGTAACACACGTTGCCACGTTCGTGTATGCGCCGATAAGGTTGCTCAAGGTGGCGCGAAGTTCAGCCGATTAGAATGCCAAAGGAATCTTGGAAGTCTGTGATAAGCCTGTACGAAATAACAACCTTTATTATTGAAAAATCAGCTATGAGACAATTGAAAACATCGAACGAATTATCCTTTATCTTGTTTATCTTCCATAGATAAAACTGCAGGGAACTATCAGAGTAAATCGCCGTTCACCTGAACCCGTGATAGGTGTATACATATTTGTGCGTGGCGTAAGAACGCGTGCTTGGATAATTTTACCGATTACCTTGGCGATAGTCGAATTCGAAAGTTCAGAGCACAATAGATCTCAAGGTGGATAGGATAATAAAAAAGTTCAGCGGACTATAGTTTGACGGCAGAAAGTTGGCAATTTAACGTATCACTGATACGAAAGTGAAACGCGGCATAGGTCTTGTAGCCTTCGAAAGTTTACTTAGCAGGTATATTCGGTGCACGAAGATAAAATTTTCGACTCGTATTCCGATAACGACGCTTTATAAGGTCGCGTAAATATTTAACTATTACCGAGAAACTATTACCACTATAATGGCTACTTATACACCGCTATTTGAATAACTCGGTAAAATTCTTTCGCTTATCGATTACGCACTCAACACTTTCTTCGATCACTGTCACAACACTGAAGCTGGCCGATAAAACGTCGATGACCTCTGTATGTTCTGCAGTAAACAATGTCTCCGGAATTGCAGAAGATTAATCACAATTTTCGCGAACGTTATCGACGCTCTCTTATCCGCGATCAAACTGAACCCGTTTCCGACCGGCAGATCGAGCAAAAGGAGGCTCGCTAGAGCAACGGGATCGAGATAAGAGGATTCTATATCGCGTGATCGTTGGACTGGTAGCGGCGCGTGTTCGATCGATTTCGCGCCGTCTCGGCGTGTAACGCGAGCGTGAAAATCGCAGACGCGTCTTGGTTAAGAAATTAAGAAGACAGGTGAGACGAGGTAAGCGTTTTGCCCGCGTGCGTGGAGGGGATCGCGAGCGGGATAAAGACGGTAGATCGTTTGATAAAACGGCGTAGGTGATCGAGAATGAAACCGTCGATCGCTGAAGAAAATGTCAGTGGTTCTCACTCTCCTTACATTTTTAAAACTCTCGCACTTTTGCAATCCTTAACTCGTTCCTAGAAAACGTTTTCCCAAAATCGTTCCACCTACACCTTCATTTAGCTAACCGAGACCTTTTAAAAGAGATGGAAGTACTGTACTTTCAACGCGTATCTCGTTTTTCGCGCAGATCGGTGGAAATTGTATTTCACGTTAAAAAGAGCAAACGAGAAAAGTAACGCTTCCGGTAATCGATCCGAAGACATTGCCGCTGTAAAATGGCAGGCGTTAATGTCGGTGAAGAACGCTGGAAGACGTTGTAAAAAGTCTCGGAGCTAATGTTACCGTAAAACGACCGTAAAAGCACATGTTGCCGTTTATACGGATAGAAAAACGAACACGTTGCGATGTAGGAGAAACCGGGAACCGTGAAATCGCTTCTGTCGAATATAACGAGGCAAACTTTATATCCTTCGGTTTACGATGAAACAGAGAGATTGATATTTCACGAATACAACGGACTGCATGAAAAATGGTAATCGACCACGGCGTGCATCGTTCGGAGACTCACGTTTATTCTCGATTGCAGCCAGATAGCGGAAACGCGTGTGCCATTAAATAATATTGGCTCGCTACTTCGCTCTGATTACGGACGTTTCAATTTTTATTTTGCTCTTTCTGAATTTCAATATTCATTTTGCTATTTTGTTTCTTTATAGATGTTTGGACATTTGAGGGACCTTTGCACTTGAAGGTAATTTGTTTGCAAGCAGCAACTTTAAAATTTAGTTACAAAGTTAAATTCTTTTGAGGTTTTATTATTTCTCTACTAATAATTTCCACTGTTTGTTTCACTATGTTTATACGTCACACGTGTCACATTATAGTTAACGCTCATTTCAAATTATTGTATTAAATAAAATGGTGACTAGTCACCTAAGTTTCAAGGTTTTCTTCGATTAAGGCGTGATTCGGAAACCGTAATGAGTAGTAAACATCCCTGGAACGAGTAGTAAAAATCCGATCCCGAAAGAAAAGATCGTGGGGTTACGATCTGTTTGAAAGTTCTTTTACGGGCATCGAATGGCCCACGTGCGTGTACATTATTGCGAAGAGCAATAAAGTACAGGACACGAGGTGGATCCAGCTGCTCGGTGAACTTCCGAGCGCATCCTTTGGCACACGTGCGAAAATGTCGATACGAATTGTCTATTTCTAGGTCGCGAAAGTAAGCAGATCGATAACGGCAAGGAAGCCAACTGTGTAGCTCGAGCTTTGCGAGGACTGAATTTCGTGGGCCGCGTGCATCCGGTCCGCGATTTCCGGCTCGAGGAGCAAGATACGTGTGCATCAGCGTAAGACGCCAAATCGGGCTAGGCAAGTTTCATCGTTTCCTTGACATCCTTAGCCGGTTAAGGACTCAGGTGTCCGCCAGAGTCCGAGCGATGCATGAGTCGACGTTCCTTCGGTGTCCTCGAGAATCGATAAAACGTTTAACCTAAATCTATATTACGTTTGCTAGCCTAACTGATCCTACCGCATCTGATTCCGCGATAGCCAGTGGCGTAGCTAGACTCTTCTTGCTACACATATTTGCTACTGTAAACGTTATCTAAGAAAAGTCTCTCTAAAATCTACACTTTAGCCTACTTCGATGTTACAGACTTTAATCGATTGTTACATCTTGTGATCAGAATAAACTGTGAAATAGAACAAAATATTTTTACCTAGCTTGAAATAAATGGGCCAGAATTTGCAGATGTTAGATTGGGAATAAAATTGGCATCGATAAGACTTTTTTTAAACGTACCGTGGACAAGTATCGATAGAGGAAAGGATAGAAATTGGTAGCAGCGAGTTGGCTGAATGCTGGCGCACGAACCAGAGCAATTCACTGTGGAGTCTTTATTAAGTCAACAACCTGCTCTAGAAATTCGTTGCATTTCGCGGGACGAAATTAAATTTCAGCGGACAATATTCAATAGGAGCGAGAGTGCCGGGGGAGCATTAATTGACATGCTGCTCCTATTACGCCGAAAATATTCGTAATTACGTAAACAATGACTGTATACTTACCTGTAACGATCACTCTGCTTGATGCTGGCCAAAATGATTCAACGCTTATGATTTTGAAGACCTAAAACATTAGATATTAATATCAGTAACAATATATATGAAATTATTTTTGAAACGTAGATGAACGTAAAAGAATTTGAAGAAAGATTGCAAAAAATTCTGGTATGCTTTAAAGAAAAAATTGCTCCAGTGGCATATAATATTAGTTAAGAATTTTTATTAAGCGTTAATAATTGAAGAACTAATAATTGAAGAGTACAAAGTGAAAGGGGGTAAATAAAAATTTGAAGTGAATCTAAAATAAGTAGAAGAATGTTTACCAAGATTTCAGAAAGGAGAATAATCGAGAGACCATTAATTTTGTCGTACGAGCACAAAATAAGAGATCACTGGATAATGGAATCTTTGATCGATGTGTTCGCGAGAGCTTCGCTGGTTAAATTGTCTGTAAAG